CCCCCCCCCGCCACGACACCAAGGAGACCCTCGACAACGCCCAGGCCCTCGGTGTGCGCGTCAAGATGGTCACTGGTGACCAGCTCGCTATCGCCAAGGAGACCGGTCGCCGTCTTGGTCTTGGTGACCGCATGTTCAACTCCAAGGTTCTCGTTGATGGTGTCCTCCCCGCCGGCAGCCCTTACAAGTCGCTCGACGAGATGATCCTCGACGTCGATGGTTTCGCCGGTGTCTTCCCCGAGCACAAGTACGAGATTGTCAAGCGTCTCCAGGGTCTTGGTCACCTTACTGCCATGACTGGTGACGGTGCCAACGATGCTCCTGCCCTTGCCCGTGCCAACGTCGGTGTTGCCGTCGAGGGTGCTACCGATGCCGCCCGTGGTGCCGCCGACATTGTGCTCACCGAGCCCGGTCTCTCCACCATCGTTGAGGCTATTCGCCAGTCGCGTATCATCTTCGGCCGTATGAAGAACTACGCCGCTTACGCTGCTGCCATCACCATCCGTGTCGTCGTCGGTTTCGCTCTGCTCGCCTTCATCTGGAAGTCGGACTTCCCTCCCTTCATGGTTCTTATCATCGCCTTCCTCAACGACGGTTCCATCATGACCCTGTCGCTCGACACTGTCAAGCCCGCCCTCGAGCCCCAGCACTGGGACCTGACCGAGCTCTTCTTCTGCGGCTCGCTCTACGGTCTGTACCAGGTTGCCTCGACTCTGTCGCTCTTCGCCGTCATCTACGAGACCACCTTCTTCGAGGACAAGTTCGGCGTTACGCCCCTGCACGGCAACCCCAACGACCCTCGTCTGCACATGATCATGTACCTCCAGGTCGCCATCCTTGCCCAGGCTCTCATCTTCGTCACCCGATCGCACGGCTTCTCGTGGATGGAGCGCCCCTCGTTCGCTCTCATGGGCGCCTTCTGCCTTGCCCAGCTCATCTCGTCGATCATCGCCGCTTACGGTGACTGGGGCTTCACCAACGTTCGCGCCATCGAGGGCGGCTGGATCGGAATCGTCTGGGTCTGGAACATCATCTGGTACATCCCCATGGACCTGGTCAAGTTCTTCGCCAAGTTCCTCCTCCGCAACATCCGCTCCAAGAAGTCGCCCGCTGCGGCCCACGAGAGCCTCAGCCGCACCACGTCGCGCGCCGACAGCATGTACTCGAACCGTACCTCGTTCCTCAAGCGTGCCCAGCGCAAGGTCGGCTTCGGTGGCGAGAAGAAGATCCACATGTCGAGCACCGAGCTCCAGCGTCTTGGCAGCATCCAGGCCCAGGAGGCCTCGCGCCGTCTCTCCAAGACCCAGTAAGCTGGGCGTCGTCTCGGAGTGGCTCTCTTTCTCTTCTCCTTCCTCGCACGTTTCGTTCCGCCTCGCATTGTCGCATAGATGCGCAAGAGCTTCGTCTCGAATGAACTCGCTCATGCTCGCTGACGACGACTGTCGTGTCAGTGTGTGTTGCAGGAGCTCTCGCTCGAGATGCTCTGGCGCTGAATGCTGGCTGCGATGAATCGGATCCGTGCCAAGGCTGGGCCAGTGTCCACGACCAGCCCGGCTGCATCACTGCATCCCCTCATTCCCACCCTCGTCTTTCTCTATTCGCATCACATATACAGAGCTTCGTGTCCCAAACTATCTTCTCGCTTGCTATAGTATCGATTAAACAAAATTTGCTTCTGGTGCGTGCTGGCCTAAGAGGGATGGACTTGAGCTGGCTTCGAAGGTGGGCTCGATGGAGTTAGCGTGCGTATCGCGCAGCGAAATGGTCTGTCTTGTCGTAGAGAAGGGCTTGCCCGGCTGGAACGAGGCTCGAGACTGCTAGACCCTTGGCTTTAGACGGATGCCCTGGGCGGGTGCCATGCCGAGCGGTTGCAGTTGGTGGCAGCCGAGAGCGATGACGTCGTGTCCGGGTAAGGACCTCGCTAGCGGAGGGACAAGGGGGTCGCCATGTTTGCTGCAGGTGTTGGGATTGCAGTCGCCGCTTGAAGGCAGGAGAGTACAGTTGAGCATCGAGGGCGCCGGCAGTCGCTCGGGCAAGCGTCGAATTGTGTGCGCTGGCATGATTTGGACGCTAGCGAGACCAACACTTGAACGCGCTTGCCCTGTCGCGTTGTGCAGAAAGTCGAAGGTTGCCAGCGATGCCAGGGTTGCCTCTCGGCTGGAGCGCGTTGCCACGCGACATGCTGCAAGCATTACGGCTGCAGGTTGTGGTGACAGGCAGTACTTCATACAGGTTGCCCACCTTTTCGCCTTCTTCGGCGTCGCCCCGCCCACCTCGAGGGCGTCACTGCGCCAAGTTCACTGAAAGCTGAAACCAAAAACTTGTGTCACTAGAGCCCACACTGTCGAGCAAGAGCCCACCAGCGGGCAGTCGAGCGGGGACGGATAGACAGACTTTCCGATGCAGCGCGTTGCGGTTCGGCGCGCCTGCCGGCGTAAAGGCGTGGGTCTCCGAGTCGGACTCTGAACGCACGCACAGCTGTCCAGCTTCCATCCCTTGGTCGGCTTGCATACAGGTCAACTTGCCTCTTTGGCGCAGGACACGACAGCCTGCCGGTGGCTGGTTGTAGCCATCGCCTCGCAGAACTGCAGCCCACCTACAGCATTGATACGTCAAAGACTCGGTTCGGCCAGGCGCCTTGTGCGGGGATCGCCCGGTGAGACTCGGCACCCTTGGATGATCGCCTGTGCAGTTCTCAAGGTGTGCAACGGCTCTGGTGCGGGCTCCCTCGCGGCGCACCTTCATCTGGCCTCCCCTTTGTTGCTTGTATACTCGCCGTCCTTCCTTCCCATATAAAATACTTCGTCCTCATCGCCCTGCCTGAACTGTTCCCTAGGAAGCCGCAGGACGCGCTCCATACAAATCATCACCATGAAGCTCACCGCATCGCTGGCCGCTGCGCTCGGAGCGCTTGCCGTCCTCTCTCCGCTTACAGTGGCATCCCAGAGCGCAGAAGCCAGAGATCTTTCGCTCGGAGAAGCCGGATTTGAAGCTCGCGGCACTTCAGACTGCGACCTTCCGGTCCGAAAGCATCACCACAAAGGCAAGAAGCACAGGAAGGCCAAGCAGGTCAAGGCCACCGTAAACTCGCTTTCGTCGGGACGAAACCGAAATCACCAGCACAAGACCAGCTCGGCACGCCCGAGCAGCTACTATCCCGACATCAAAGGTTCCTCTACCCAGCCCAAGTCGTCGACCCCTGTCTCTAGCTCGTCGTCTGGCTCCACCGGATCGAGTGGGTCCACTGGATCCACCGGTTCTACGGGAACATCGGGCGACTCGTCGAGCCTGTCGAGCTTTGAACAGACGATGCTGGACATGCACAATGCCGACCGAGCTAAGCACTCCGCCTCGGCGCTGACGTGGGACAGCACGCTCGCCTCGGCCGCTGCAAAGTGGGCTGCCGGATGCCAATGGAAGCATACACCCAACAATCCCTACGGCCAGAACATCGCCGCAGGTACCGCAGGCGACTTTGGCGCCAAAGATTCGTGCAGCATGTGGTACGACGAAGTTTCGCAGTACAGCTTTGCTTCGGGCGCGTACAGCGATGCAACGGGTCACTTTACGCAGATGGTCTGGAAGTCGACCACGAAGCTAGGATGCGCCATCCAGGACTGCTCCGCTAGCCAGATGGGGCTTGGCAGCAAGGGCTCCGCCACGTACGTCGTGTGCAACTACGATCCGCCCGGGAACGTAATTGGCCAGTTCCTTCAGAACGTATTCTCGACCTAATAGGGTCAGGAAAGATCGGCAGTGCAGGCACTGTCGAGGTGTGGCGAGGCAGGTTCCTCAGCCGGGAAAGAGCAGGTTGCTGGTCGACACGCTCGGTCTTGTTCTGCTAGTATATCATACCGCTTGTGTGCCATCAATGGAAGAGTTCAAAGTTCAAATTCAAAGGGACTGTGCAAAGTTGCAGCGCTCAAAGCTTTTCGGTAGAAGCGGCGAGACCGTGGCACAGAGACAAAGGGAGGCGCAGGCGTGAGAAAAAAGGCACTCTTTCTCGTATTGGTACATCAGCTTGGGCCGTCTATCCTGCACCGGAAGGTGGTTGAGCGTTCGATGCATGATCCGTTCGACATTGTGCAAGCCCCGCGACACCAGATACAGAAAGAAAGCAAACGCCATAAAGGGGCTGTTCATTGCAGTCGGTGCCTGAAGGTGCCAGATGAACGACGAGTTTTACGGGCACATCCTTCCACGAGTACAATAAAAGGCAGGTGCGTCCAGCCCACGATCCGCACCCTCCTCCTTCTCTTTCAATCGCCTGCGCTCCCCACCATCTTGGACTCCTTCATCTGAGCACCAGGCTTCCAGGCAGCAGCGTTGCAATAGCCGTGCCAGTTGCATTCGAGCGCACTACGGCTGTCGGTCTGATTTCGGGATATCCGTCTTTTCCGACTGTCTTGCCATCGGAAACGCCCCGCGCGCGTTCGGCTTGAAAGCGTGTGGACCCTGCCGAAGCTTGTGTCTCGCTTGCCATCTTCAGGATGGACCGCGTTCATGCGAGGGCTCTTTCTTCCCCGCTGGGATCCTCCTCTCCACCAAGTCAGCGCGAGCCCACATCCATGCAACGCTCTGCGCAGCTTCTAGCTCAAGCTGTGCCGTTCGCGCTCAAAACATCTTCAGAGCCACCCACTTCATCAGCCTTGGACCACCGAACACGTATAGATCCGCCGGCCCCCGATCAATCCGTTCGTCAACGTCGCTCGCTCACTCACGGCCTCCGGCGCTTCTTCCACCACGTCAGGCCCACAAACAGCAAGACCAAACAAGAGCGCTCGGATCCAAGCTTCGAAGCCTCCTGCAGTATCCTCAAGGTCGATCGCATCGGGAATCCTAGCCTCTTCGCTTCCTTGACACCGTCTAGAAGCTTGCGCACTCCTCCCTTTTCACGCTCGGTTGCCTCTCTCTCCTCTGCGTCCTCGTCGTCGTCGCCTCCGAGTCCCACCTCCTCGTCCTCGGCGTGCAGCTCACAGATCATCTTCCCGCTCGATCCGGACTTCGAGGCTGAGCTAGAGATCGCCCTCGAGATGGCGCCGCACAGCCTCGGCTCCGCGTGGAGCCATGACTCGTACAATGCCATGCAGTATCTGCGTGCTCGTACACCCTATCCACCCACCATGACCGAGACCGCCTTTGACTATCACGCACAAGGCGACCGACAAGGCTCAGGCAACCGCTGGCAGACGGCGCTCGAGATCGGATGCGGACCGGGTCAAATGTCGATCCACCTCGCCACGCGCTTCGCCAAGGTGTACGGCCAGGATCCCTCGCCTAACATGCTCAAGCTGGCGAACACGGTCAAGCGAATGTCGGCCGAAGAGCTCGCCGAGGTGAATCTGCCGCCTGTCAGGGACGCCGCACGCATCGAGTATAGTCAGGCTCGCGGTGAAGATCCCATCCTGCCGCCGGGCGAGAAGGTCGATCTGATCATGATGGCGGCGTGCATCCACTGGATGGACTGGGAGAAGCCCGAGTCGGGTCGATCCAATTGGCAGAAGTGGTCCTCGCTGCTAAAGCCCGGCGGCACGCTCGTCGTCACGGGCGGCCGACCCGTCATCGGACCTTACACTGGAGAGATGGGCGAGCGGATTCGGCCGCTTCGCGACTGGCTCCTCGACTTTCCCTTTGATTATCCCGAGGTGCAACGCTACTACGATACGGGCAACACGGCCATTGAAGACCTACGCAAGGCCGGCTTGTATCGCAAGCTGCCCATGCCGTGGGAGCACAGCCCCGATCTGGAGCAGCTCTGGGACCGCAGCTCGTACTGCTGGATTCCCGTCGATGACCCCACGGTTCTTGGTGAGAAAGCCACCTCGGCACGACTAGCCGAGGTGGATGATCCAGAGCAGCTCGCTGCCACCATGGACAATTTGCCCGAGTGGATCCGTCCGGGCGTGCGTCGGGCGGCCTGGTGCGACAACTCGGCGGGCGATCTCGTCATCACCACGACAACGCCAAGAAAGATGGCGGATTGGACCAGATCGACCTCAGCATATCTCAAGTTCCTACAAGAAAACCCGGAACAGCGCCAGCTCAGCTTGCAAGACGAGGATCTCGCCGCCGTCGAACTCAAGAAGCTTTGTCAACAGATTGGCATCGACTTTGACGCCGAGATTGAGTGCCACCACTCGGGCGCTGTCCTCTGCATACGTCGCTCCCTCGTGGAATGCTGATCTACGAGCCCTCTTTTCCTTTTCTAGCCCACCCTGCTTCACTTTCGTCCCTCGCATAGCATCTTCGTTCGCTCTTCCGCACCCTTCCGTCTTTCCGACTTTCATACTTGCATCTCCGTTTCTACGACTTGTAGCATTAATTCACGATATTCACAGCTTTGTTGCTTCCAATCTGCAATGCTAGCGATCTGAGTTTGATTTTGACAGGTCCTTCATATGCTCCGTCGGAACAGATCGTAGAGAGGATGCTCAAGATCTCAAGCTTGCGAAGCACGAAAGGTGAAAGGGACGTCACCTTTTTTGGCAGCTGCGGATTTCGCGTTGGCGGACCAGACGTGGAGGCGCGAGCGTGTAGGTTGATGACAAGGGTTCGGAAGATCCGATTTTGAGCTCGTGCCGCCTTTCAGAGGGTGCCTTGCCCCCCCCGACTACCCATCCTGCTCACACCATCGGAAGCGCCGACATCTTTGCTTTCTTGCTCTCGTCCACTCAGATCTCCAGTCTCGCAACTTTGCAGTCCGACGCTGGACTCGATTCCGACTCCAACAGTGTCCGGCCGGTCTCCGACGCGTCAGTCCCAACTCGCGGCCCGCAGGGTACACGCCAGCTACACTCTGGCGTCACGGCGGAGCAAGCAACAAGAGTCACGTCGTCATGTTCCTGTGACTCGAGAGTACCGACACTTCTAAAACGGCTCGAGGCCGCTGCTAGAGCTCGTCTGCATCACCATGCCGACTGCCTCGCCTGCCGCGGGCCAGCAGACTCCGCCGAACCAGCAGCCCTTGATCCCCGTCGGCGCCGATTGCGAGCTGGTCGACTCCGAAACAGGCAGCGTCTTCCTCGCCACAGTCATCTCACGACGCTGGGGCAGCCCGTCGAATACGCAGGCTGGGTCCGAGAGCGACCATGTCCAGTACTACATCCACCGCCACGACCAGGATAAGCGCATGGATGGATGGGTCGATCAGTCCTCCGTTCGTCCTGTATCCGCTCGCCCTGCACCGACAGCCACACCTGCTCCGTCCGACCCAGCCCATCTGCTGCTGAGCACGGCAACACGTCCGGGCGACAAGGGCAAGAGGAAAGCCGAGAACGAGCTGAAGCACGAGGACAGCGATGGCAGCCGAACGCCCTCAGCCAGCAGGCAGGCATCGCCTACACCGCCGGATCGCCTCCCTCACCCTCGCAGCAGGAAGAATGCTCCGGCTTCGTCGCCCGAGACTCCAGCGCTGCGCAACATCGGCCGCGTCCTGTATGGCAACTTCGACATCAAGACGTGGTACTACAGTCCATATCCACTCCACCACGACGATGACGCTGTCGATGGCTCTGCGGCGTCTTCGCACGCATCTGCAGCGCTGGGAGCCAACAAGCGCAATCAGTCACCCTCCTTTAGACATGGGGCAGCCTCATCCCCCGCGGCGAGGCGCGCGCCGCCCAACACTGGCGCCGACTCGCCCGCATCTGCGTCACGAATGTCGCCTGCCGCCGGCCATGCACGCGGCCGCAAGGACTTCCTCCCAACCAAGATGCTCTGGATCTGCGACGGGTGCTTCAAGTACATGAAGACGTACAATGGCTATGCAGCGCATCGCAAGTTCTGCAGGAACACTCATCCTCCGGGGCGAAAAGTGTACCAGCGCGGCGCGCACATCATCTGGGAGGTCGACGGCGCCCAAGAGACGCTGTACTGCCAGAACCTCTCGCTCTTCGGCAAGCTCTTCATCGACCACAAGACCATCTACTTTGACGTCGAGCCCTTCGTCTTCTACGTGCTCACCGACGCAGCTAACGCGAGCTTTGACCACGCGCTCGGCTTCTTCTCCAAGGAGAAGATCTCGTACGACGATTACAACCTCGCGTGTATCGTCACATTTCCGCCCTTCCAGCGCAAGAGCTTCGGCACGCTCATGATCGAGTTCTCGTACTATCTGTCTGCAGCGCAGGGCATGTTCGGCACGCCTGAAAGGCCGCTATCGGATCTGGGGCTCAAGGGCTATCTGTCGTTCTGGACGGCGGTGCTGTTGCGCGCGCTCGTGGCGTGCTTCGACGGTCCGCTCCAGCCTCGCAAGGGCAGTGCAGGCAGGGGCCGCAGGCAATCATCGGCAGCGAGGTCAGCACAGGTGGCTGATCAGGGGATGGAGGATGACAACAAGGCGGATGCAAGCAAGGCAGCAAGGCACTGGAACATCCTCGTCCAGCGGTGCAAGCTGCTCGACGTGGACATCAAAGCAATTTCTCACCAGCCCGGCTTCGAAGAGCTGCGCAAACTCGCCTCAGAGGCCGATGGCCAAATGGTCGCCGGTTCCGATCCTACGGCTGCGGCTGCGGCAGCGCAGAAGCGCAAGATCAGGCTCAAAGGGTGGGCGGGCAGCACGCCTGCTCGTCCGCTCCGGGCTGCACGCATCCAGCCGGCGCCCAGCGACACCGCGCACACGCAGACAGGGACGATGCCAACTTCTGCACTAACTGCCTCCTATGGCCCTGGGGCTGCAGCGGCAGACGTGTCTCATCCCGCGCTGGACCTTGCCAAACTGCGTGCCGATGAGCCGTGCACGATGAGTGTGACGCTCGATGCGCTCTCGCGCCTCACGTATATCCGGCCGGACGACATCGTGCTTGCGCTTTCGGAAGCGGGTCTGCTCAACGCCGCGTCGACACCGTTCCTCCCGGGCTCTGATGCGGCCGTGTCGCAGAACGGCGCCTCGCATGACGAAAGCGCACGCGCCAACGGCAAGAGCAGCAACGTCAGCACCGTGACACCCGCACACGGGCAACCTGCGCTTCTGCTGACACGCGACGCAATCCGCTCGGCGATCGAACGCTTCAACGTGCGACCTGCCGTACTGGAAGAATCCTACGCACTCATCTGAGTCTGCGCAATCCTCACGCAAAGAATCTTGTGCAATGGAAACTGCATTTCGGAAGATCTGTCTGTGTGTTGCAGCGACTCACTTGGCGGCACTTTGGCGTTCGAGGCGGGCGAGGCTTTCGGCCGCCTTGTTCTTGGCCACGGTGAAGGCGGGTCCTTCGAGCTTGCTTGCCAGAGCGTAGGTCTTTTGAAAGTAGACGCGTGCCGAGCACTTGTCGCCCGCCATCTATGCACACGTTGAAGCGAGGAAAGTGCGAGCAGGTTAGCATGAGGTCAAGGCGTGGTGTAGGGCAAAGGAAAGACACTTACGTCGCTGAGGACACCGAGGTTGTACAAAAGGGTGAGTTTGACGCCGAGGCATTCGAGACGCACTTCGTTGGTGCGCTCCTGTGACGACTGCACCACCTCAACGCCAGCGCTGGGCTGGCTTTCAAATCCGGCCTTCTGCACGGTGGTGTCGGTGATCTCGAGACCTTTGAGTGCCCACTTGGATGCGTCCTTGATGTTGGACCTCGAAAGGAGCTGTGAGAGGTTGTTCATGATCAGACCGGCTTTGCAGCGCTCGCTTGCGGTCGGCGCGCTTCGGTTGGCCGAGGGAGTGCTGGGCGGCAGCAGGATCGACAGCGCCTGCAGATACAGAGGCACCGCAAACTCGGGTACACTCTTTGCAGCGTAGAATGTGCCTAGTGCCTCTACGGAGCTGAGCACGTCGAGCTTGGTGACCCAGGCGGGAAGGTCGAGGTCTGCAAGCGAAATCGACGTCGGCGGCTCCACCTCTGTCAGGGTAGCCTTGGGCGCAGGGGCAGATTTGTCTTTTGACGCGGCGGGCGGCGCAGCTGCAGCAGCGAGCGCAGAGGCATGTACATCGGCGGGCAGGATGAGCCTGAACAGCTCTTCGACACTCCACACGAGCCAGCGCTCGGCAGGATCCTCCGAAGCGGCCGTGCCGGTGAGGCTGAATCGGAACAGCTTGGCATCGTCCTTGGCCTCGGCGGCGTCTTGAATCGGTGCTTGCTTGGCCCGGTTCAGCAGCTCGATTCGCACCTCGGGCAGCTGGCCAAGCATACCCAGCTTCTGAGCAATCTGCACAGCGCGCATCTTGTCCCGATCCGTCCTCGCCACTTCGCCCTTTTCCTCGGCAACCCTCGCGTACATGCCAGTCTCCATCACCTCGTCCCAAACATCCTGCAGCACGTCGTAAGCGTCCACGACGCGACCCTCTCCTTCCAGCAATGCAGCAAGTGCAATAGCAATGCCCGAGATCTTGAGCATCCCTTCGCCCTTCAACCCCGCGGGCTGGCCCTTGGGCGTCGGCGTCGGCTCGTTGAGCTCGCCTTTGATCGAGCGTGCCGTGGCAAGCGCTTTGCGGAAAAAGTTCTCGGAGCGGCGTGCATCGCCGCGATTACGCGCCTTGAGCGCAGCGCGGAGATCATCGCGGATCGAGACTGGCCAGGCCGAGAAGGAGGTGTAATACTCGTACAGGCCGTAGCCGGTGACAACGACCGCGAGGGTGATGAGCGAGGCGAAGAGAGTGCCGATGCGAACGGCACCTGGGCCATTGACGGAGGGGCGCGGTCGGAAGCCGGGCGTCTCAACGTTGCCAACACCGGAAGGGCTCTTGGATGGCGATGAAGGAGGGCTGGACAGTCGTCGGGATGTGGATGAGAGTGCTCGGACTTGAGGATGCTGTTGGGCGAACCTGGGAAGGACTTGAAGGCTCCGCGGCTGGACCGGGAGGCGAACCAATCGGATGATGGAGCGCGCCGCAGAAGATGCTCTCAATGAGGACATGATGGCTCGTGAACGTTTCCGCCAGTAGAAAGTAGGAGAGCGATGTGAAGAGGAAGAAGAGAGGTAGCCACAGGAGGCTTCTTGCTCACGTCAACCAGCTGCTTCTTCTTCTCCACTTGGAGCAAATCTCCCGATCTGAACGCTTTGCCGACATCGCCGATGCGGAATTTTTTCGGACATGTCCGAGCTTACCTCGGCCTGTTTCCTCTTCCGACCGACGAAGCTTGATGAACGTGGGGAAGGCAAAAGATGCACTTCCCGCCTGGGCCGAGCTTCCGACGTGCGCCTCAGAAGGACAACTTCAACTGGCAACCACAACGACTCCCTATTTCACCCCAAGACCATCACCTCGTCAAACTCATACCGGATCATCAAGATGTCTACCGTTACTCAGGAGTCGCTCGCAGCTGGCATCGAGTCGCTGCTTTCCTCGCTGCCGTCTTCGCTCGAGACGCTGCCGGCCATCGAGCCGGCGCCGGCGGTGCCTACCACCGAGGCCGAGGTGGCTTCGCTCATCGACCACACGCTGCTGGCACCCAATGCGACGCTGGACCAGATTGAGGCTATCTGTGCCGAGGCCAAGCAGTACCGCACTGCCACCGTCTGCGTCAACTCGTCCATGATCCCCTTTGTGGCCAAGCAGCTCGCCGGCACCTCGGTGCTCCCGATCTCTGTGATCGGCTTCCCCTTCGGCTCAGCCAACACCGCGTCCAAGGTGCTCGAGGCGCAAACAGCGTGTGCCGAGGGTGCGCGCGAGATCGACATGGTGAACAACATCGGCCTGCTGCGCTGCAAGCGGTATCTCGAGGTTTACACCGACGTTGAGGCGGTCGCCAAGGAATGCCATACGCACGGTGCCAAGCTCAAGGTGATCCTCGAGACGGCCATGCTGACCAAGCCCGAGATCGTCGCTGCGTCGTACATTGCGTGCCTGGCAGGCGGCGACTTTATCAAGACCAGCACGGGCTACGGCGGTGCCGGAGCCACCAAGGAGGATGTGAGGCTCATGTACGAGGTCGCAAAGACGCAGGGTCTGGGCTGGAACCCGAGCGACAAGGAGGTCAAGGCAAGCGGTGGGATTCGAAGCCTCGAGACGGTGCACACCATGGTCAAGAACGGCGCCACAAGGGTCGGCGCCAGTGGCACCAAGGCCATCGTCGAGCAGATCCGCAATGGCGCCGCTGCCCCGCCTACTTCCGCCTCCGCATACTAATTCACCGCGACCGCCGATCCTGTACAATGTGTTTAGTCTCAATGTCAGTGGGTGTACTTTGACGGCTTGATATTGCGAGTTCGAGTCTACAGCTTGGCAGCGAGTGCGTGTGCGGGTGATGGTGGTGTGTGTCGACCGACTTCTGTCCGTGTGGAAACGTGACTGGGATCGGCATGAACCCACGATCGGACGCTGTCGATCAGCCTATCGATGTCGCTTTTCGTGTTATCGGCATGGACGCAGATTCTGACTCTGTCCTCGCCCTTGGGTACGGTGGGATAGCAGATGGGCCTTGCGAGCAACCCATTTGCGCGAAGATACGCCGCGAGTTCGCGTGCGCGGCTCGTCAACACGGGCACGATGGGCGAGGGCTGCTGCATCGACCATCGTACAAAGTCATCATCAGCTTCCACTGCGAGCTGAGCTTGTTGCTTGGGCTTGAGATGTGGTGGCAGAGCGATCGTTCGCTTGGCAGCCGGAGATTGCGATCGAATGACGCCTTCGAGGCCATCCACGAGCCTTCTAGCATTGCCAAAGGTAGCACGGGCCCTCTTTTCGGCCGACCCGTCCTGCACGGAACGGAACGCTGCGAGGATGGACGCCAGTTGGGGATAGCCGAGCGCAGTGCTGAAGATGAGCGGGCGTGCATAATTGATGAGATAGTGCCTGGCGATCTTGCTGCAAAGTACGATAGCGCCTGAAGCACCCCATGCCTTGCCAAACGTCATGAGTCTGGCCGTGATGCGCGGATCGTCTTGAAGACCGAGCGCGTTGACGAGACCTCTGCCACGCGAGCCGTACACGGCGGTGGAGTGCGCCTCATCGACCACGGCGCAGATGCGGTGCTGGGGCACGTGCTGCGACAGCGTATCGAGCAGCGCGCGCAAGGGACAAGCGTCTCCGTCCATGGAGTAGATGCTTTCGACGGCCAGCCAAACATTGCGCTGCTCGCCAGGGGCTGCGCTTGTACCGGCCGTCAGGGTGCCATCCTGAACGAGCCGTGTGAGAATTTCTCGGAGGTGATCGACCGAGTTGTGGCGGAAAGGGATGCGGAGATGCGCAGGCACGCGCGAGCGCCTCAAGCCATCGTGCACCGAGGCATGAACGAGCTCGTCGTAGATGACGACGTCTTTGGGCTGAGGCAGTGTACTGAGGAGCGAGACGTTGGCCTCATAGCCCGAGTTGAAGAGGAGGCCTGCGGCCGACGAGGCAAAGTGGCGCGTAAGGTCGTTCTCGACGGCCTCGTGCACGGACGAGTTGCCGTCCAGCAGCCGTGATCCGGCGCTGCCGAGCTGTGCCGAGAGCGGAGAATCCGATGCAATGATGGCAGCAAAGTCGGCGCGCACCCGAGACGAGGTGGCCAGGCTCAGATAGTCGTTGCTCGAAAAGTCGACCAGGGGCTGCTCGCTGGATGAGGACGATGAGACAGACGTCGAAGCGGTCGGGTAAACGGTGAGCTGGCGCAGCGTACCCTTGGCTGCTCTTCTGTCAAGCGCTGCCTGCAGCTCGTCGTCCAGCATATCGAGTATGCGTTCTAGGAGTGGGTGGTGAGGATCGGAGCAGGGCGGAGAGGGGGAGTCGTAGATGTAGACGTCTATGGGGTGCTCTCCATCTGTGAGAATGGTGAACTCGCGAAGCCGCGACGAAGCAGATCTGGCGAGATGGTGATCTGTGCTGTTGTTGGGGCGGAGGTGAGTCTTCGGTTGGTTGCCGGAGCGGGTTGGGCGCGCGCGCGGCAGCGTTGGGAAGAATCGCGGCCAAAACCCTGGATTTCGCAGCCAAAGATTGCAGGATGATAGCCGGCAAATCCACCGTTCGGGCGGATCGGTCGTTGTTGAATCGCTGCTTTCGGCACATTCTCATCTTCATTTTCAACTCGGTTGGTCCGTCCGCCGGTATTTTTCGCTCAGTCAGGCACCACAGCAGCAGCAGCTGCCAAAAAAGCAGTGCTGGGCGGTGATGCAAGCCAAGAGTCCCTCCACCTGCGCCTGTGCGTCAGAGCCCAATCAGTCAGAGGGCACTCTAGAAACCAGACAAGCGAGGCATACGAAGGCAAACGTGGTCCCCTCAACTCAGGGTCGCCTCACAGCCCAAAAGGTGGGGGAGGAAGCTGCCAATACGCATCCATTCTTTTGGTTCGTCTTTTCTTGGTTGCCTCCACCATCCCAAGACTAAGGCTTCATCACCGCCCGAAGCTCCTCCAGCAGACCGCCCGACACGGTCGCTTCGAGCATACATCACACCCTGGCAAAGTGTCCGCAAGCGCTCCTTCATCTTCGGCGAGCTTCGACGCTCAATCCACCTTCCGAGTCTGGTCAAGGGGTGAATACGCGAGACCACATCTCCGCAAGGTCCACCATCACTCCACGACAACATACGTTCGTGGCAAGCGATATCAAGATGAGCGCGTCACCAGGCTACGACCCCGCGTTTGCCTCGGCAGGCACGTCGCTCGCCCCTCACGAGGGCAGCGCTGACGATGCCATCATCTCGAGCAAAGCCGCTCGAGCCAGCATCCCACAGCTCGTCGATCCAGTCGACCCGTCTGCACTCACGCCTCTCCGAGCGCATTATCTCAAAAAGACGCTTATCCGTCTCCAGATGGAGAAGGAGGTCGCACAGCTCAACACCAAAGATGCGCTCTCCACCTTTGGGCCGCCCTTTCGTCCTTCGCCTCAGGCGCGCAGGACAGACCTCCCTTTGCTGCGTTTCATGTTCCAGCACTTCGTGCTCACTTTTCCTTTCCTCCGATCAGCACCTCCTAATTTCTTTGCGGACAAGGTGCAGGTGTTCTTTGACAAGTTCCTCGAGCGCAACATCAGCAGCACAGACGATCGAGACGAGTCGACAAAGCGTCGTAGGCTCACAAATAAGATCGAAAAATACTTTGTCCTTCTCCTCGGCTCCGCCATCAAGGTCAAGAACGTCGGAGAGGACGTCGTTCGCATCTCGGACCGTGACCGGCTCCGTATGAGTGCCGTCGAAGCTCGTCGCAAGGCCGCATTAGGACGCGCCGCCGCTTCCCCTCAATCCTCGACCAAGCATCTTGACGTGCCCAGCGATGGCCGTCCCTCCTCGTCCCACTCGGCCGCCTCGTCGACCTCTTCGCTCAACCAAAGTGCAGGCTTTGACATCAACGTCGTGTCCGTGCGCAACGTAGTCACAAAAGGGAGAATCCGCAGCCGCGCTCACGAGGAGTTCATCATCCGCACTCGCTCAGGCTACGGACAACCAGACATCTACGTCTCACGGCGCTACGGCGACTTTGCCAGGCTCGCAGAGACACTGCGGGTCGAATATCCGGAGGAGGACGTCCGCCTTCCGCCTCCCAAGGATCGAACCAATACCGACATTTCGGACCCCTATCAGCGACCGTCCGTAGATGCCTCGTCTTCAGCCCTCGAAGACGGCAATCCGCGTGCGTCGACGGACTCCAGCGGTCAACCACGCATCCCGTTGCCCACCGGTCCCCTCGCGAGGGAGAAGAACCGTCTCACACTACGCGCATATCTCCGTTCCCTTCTAGCAAGCCGCGCAGTGGCGGAGAGCGCCCTCCTCATGGATTTCCTGACCGCAGAACCCACCAAGCTAACACCGGCAGAGGAGGAGGATGCGGCCATCAGAGAAGGCCTCGACCACGTGCGTGAAGAAGAGCACAAGCGCTTCGCCGACGAAGCCGCAAAACGTGCACAGGAGCTCCAGGCGCATCTCAAGGACTTCAAGCAGGACTTGATCCAGCACGATGGACTCACGCGCATATTTGCCACCATCAAGTCGACCCCGCGCATCGAGGACCTGCCCGAAAAGTACAAGGCGCTGCTCAAGTGGGGCCGCATCAGCCTCGCCTCCACCATCTTCCAGATCTTCATGGGTAGCGACAACTCGTCCGAGATCTTTTCGCAGATGAAGCGCATGCATGGCATGATGCCCTACTTTATGCTGCGCGGCATCCTACGCATCTCCAATCCCATGGCCATGGTCAGAGGAGTGCTCGACATCTTTCTGGCACAGCCCTTCGGACAGCGTAGCTTGCTTCAGCGCATGTTCTCCAGCAGCCTGCAGGATGAGGTGCGAGAACTCACAGAAGTATGCACGGCCATCGCTGCCAAGGTGGACGACCCAGTCATCTGCGAGAAGGTCCGCCTCTTCGTCTACGCTCCCTCCGAGGTCCAGGCTCTCTATCGCAAGGACGCTGAAGAGGAGCGTCTCGATCTACTCACGACCATCTTGCGCTCGCCCGAAGCTCCGTCGCTGAGTCGCTCGCAGATCCATCGCGTGGTCAAAGCGAGTCAAGCCTACGAGGTGTACAAGGAGTACCGGCGAGGACTCAAGAATCCGGACCTGGAAGATGAGGGACCCCAGGATGACGATGCCTGGCTGTACGAGGATCTGCATGTGTTGATCAAGATGCTCACACGCAAGCGTGACAAGGAGCAGCTCATTTCGCTCATCTTTGAAGGCGTCACCGCCGAGCTGCTCAAGGACATGGTCACCATCTTTTACTCGCCGCTCGCCCAGGTGTACAAGCTCGCCAACATCGCAGACAGTCTCTCTGACCTGCAGGCCTTCATCACCGACCTCATCAAGACGGTGGAGGCAAACGAAGAGCTGAGCTACACGGATCCGACCAGGACGGTGCAAGTTTTTGTCGACTTGGTCGAACGGCACGAAGGACGATTCTACAACTTTGTGCATCAAGTACACTCGAAAGGCTCGGGACTTTTCGACGGCCTCATGCATTGGATCGAGCTTTTCATCAACTTTGTCCGCGGCAACGAGCGCTCGGCGGATGCTGTTTCGCAGGCAGCGGGTCAAGCGGAGACCGATCCGGAGAAGCGCGCACAGCAGCAAGGAGGCATCGGCGAGGTGGATCTGGAGATCTGCATGCCTGCCGGAGGCGAGGAGCGCAAGCGGGCACTCGACGAGATCGACTCGCTTGTGCTGTATGCCTACCGACTCAAGTTTGTTCGCGAGCTCAAGCTGCGCCGTAAGCTGGCAGACCGCGAGGTTGCCGGTCTGGCTGGCAAGCTGATCTCTGCAGAGAACAAGCGCCGGTCTGATGGCCTTACCGAGGAAGACGATTCTGCATTCGTCGGCGCCATGGTGGAGAACCTCGGCGTGGGCGACATCTTCACGGGTGAAGTGGCCGATGCCGAGGCGGAAGAGGATGAGCTGGACACGTCGGACGAAGAGGACTCGGACGAGGAGGAGTTCGGTCAGGGGCGCGCGCATTCAGGCGATCGGCCGCCGCTGAGGCGTCAGTCTTCCAGCGACACGGATGCCGAAGGAGAGGAGGACGAAGCAGCGCCGAGGTGGAGACCCACGCCTTCCCGTCAGACCACGCTGACACCAGGCAACATGCAACATGCAAACAAGAATCTTCCGCCAACGCCGCAGGAAGCCAGGCCGGCCGCCGACGGCAACGATGCCGAAAAGACACGCAAGCGTCGCAAGATCCCAGCTCCCAAGGCACCGGAGCTCAAGGTGTTGCCCGAGATGCTGCCTCTGTTCGTCGAAATGGTGCGACCGCTGCTGCGTCCGGCGAGGACCGCAAGCGCTTCGAGCCTCCGATCTAATAGCTACGACCCGTACGCCCAACAGGCCGGGTCGGATCTGCAGTTGCCTCCGCTGGCTGCCACTGGAAGCGGCAACAGTTCAGGACTGTCTCAGGGCCTGCGCAACATGGACTTGGCTTCCACATCGTCGCCTACCTCCTACGTCTCTTCGCCTTTTTCGGGCCGCAGCGGGTCCGCAGATGGAGAAGCGCGCCGCCAGGAATCGGGCTCGGACCGCCTTCCTGGCGAGTACAAGTGGTGATCTTCTCTGCACCTCTGTCCTCAATCATCTTGTAATCATGGCTTCTTCACCATCGCAACGCATACGCAATCCTACCATCATGTCGTCAATCTAAGAACGGAGCAGCGTGCGAAGGTCTAGGGTGAGCGGCTCCAGCGCTGAAATTTTGAGCTTGTTAGACCTCACGTCGTGTTCGGAGCTGGAATTAAATCCCGCATGGCGTGCTCGACAGGCCGAGGAGCGGGAGGATTTTTTTCACGAGAGCGTCCTCGGGAGAGCATGGCAGAGGCAGATCTTCCTGCCCAGAGCGGATCCGACGAGCTTCCGACTCAAAGTGAATTCGCCGAAGCACACCGACTTGCAACCTCTCCTTCCTACGCTCGAGCAGGTGCATACAGACCATCCCCTCCTGCAACCACACACGCTAGGAGATGCACGCGATGCTCAAGACAAGTCTCAGCTCGTCGATGCGGGCCGCCTCGCTGCCCCGCTCTCGCATCGCCGGCTTCGCGGCCACACGCACTTTGGCCACCGTGTCCGACTCGCCTGTTCAGCATGCTGCCTCCGGCTCCGGCAGCCACAAGGTGGTGATCATCGGCGGTGGATCTGCCGGCATGGCTGTGAGCCACCAGCTCATCCGATCCGGCGGCTTCGCACAAGACGACATCGCCATCGTCGACCCGTCCGAATGGCACCACTACCAGCCCGGCTGGACGCTCGTCGG